CTGTGATTTCAAGTTTTAAGTCAAAATAATGAGAACTGGTGCCAGAACTGATACTGGCTATGTAAAAGCGCGTATCGGAAAGGTGCTGCGAAAAATAAAATAAAAATATGAAAAATCTTAGAAAAATGAGTAGATTCTGAATCTCAAGTTTGGGATTAAAATACTAAGCATAGCTATTAGTTCTAATACTGTGCGCTTAAGCTGGTTATAAATACAACTTTTAGGCTCAAAACCCTAGGCATTTTCTATTCCTACGTGACCTTCGGAGGCTGATCATCCTTTGACACTGTTCCATTGCTGGTCTCCCTTCACCTTGTGAGCCAAATGGCCTTCTCTTCCTTGTTTCTTCATTGAATCACTATAGATATTGAGAGTAAACCTTGGGAAGTTGAGAGCCACCTTATTCTGAGTAATTGCAGCCTCTAGCTTGTGTGTGGGAAGGTTGAGCTCACTGTTTGTGGGCTGAGTTGGTGGTCCTCTTTGGTGAGAGTCGTTTCCTTGTCTTTGGGAAGCTTCAAGGAGCCACCTTTGGAGTGAAAGGTCCAAGCTTTTGTTGTATTTTTGTGGTTCTTGTGAAGCAGAACCTTGGTGCTGTGTAGATGACCCCTAGTGTGTCTCATTTTCGGAGTTTTGGAGCTTGGAGGTATACCATGATAACCTCTTTGTCATTTTGATGATTTAAGCTTGTTTAATCAGTTAAAAAGTAAAACTTGGATCATTTAAGTAAAGAAGTGTGTTTCTGAGTTCTTAACATGCTTATGAATATCTGTTTATGGAGTCATTGGACTCCAAATCACGTTTTGACCCTTAAAAGTGGGATTATGCAGAAGTCTGTTCGAATTTATGCATTCTGATGGAAAAGTATTCGAATACTTTTCGTGTAGTATTCGAATACTTGTCCTCTGGTAATCGAATACTCCTTGTTGGAGTATTGGGATACTTTTCTGGGAAGAAAAGTATTCGGATACATTTGAAGAAGTATTCGAATACTGGAGAGTATTCGAATACAGTGAGTTTTGGTATTCGGATACTGTGGTATTCAGATACTTGGGGTGTTGGTATTCGCATACCTTGTGGTATTCAAATATTTTAGTGAAAGTAATCGAATACTTTCTGGAGAGCTGGAGTATTCGAATACTCATCAAGGAGTATTCGAATACCTCCTGCAGAAACAACATGTAATGACTTAAAATGAGATGGAAAGCCTTAATCACTTAATGTAACCTTGGTAAATGGTTATTGATGATTATTTCCTGTATAAACAGATTGTGATTGTGCTGTTTGTGGGCCTTGAGCTTGTGTGAACTCTTGGCTTGGATAGTTAGCTTGCAAGGTAAGCTTTCGTGTCCTCGATTTAGCAATTGTTTGTTCCATCATGTCCCATGGGGGGATGGTTTATATGCATGATGTGTTTTCATGTATTGTTTATTGAAATGCTATTGAGCTGTTAAGTGCAAAATGCTTATGATATGTATGTGGTGTTTCGCCTAGACAGGAAGCCATAGGGTCGTCCTGTGGGCGGGTACAGCATGAGCGTGTACTGTGTGGGTAATAGACGTATTTCTGCACTTCTCTGATCAGTAGAATAGTTATGACACACATGACATGATTATCTGTTGCATTGCACTGGTTTTGGAACTGATATTGAATTACTGCTTTTAGAACTTATATTGCACATGTAAGTGAGCTTGGGGTGGAAGATCCTTGAGGACCCATTGTCTTAATGAGATTTCTGTTTAGAGATCTCACCCCACGTTTGGGGCGCTTATTTCAGGTTCAGGTAACTTGGGGGCTGATGCCTCTGGCGGCAGGAGGCCGGAGCTTAGTTGATTTATATATGTTGTATGCTGACATGACTGAATATTGGATGTTGTTTATGTTTTCTGTCATTATATGATTATTGAGATGAGACTCTTTGTGGGCTTTGTTGCCTTATTTGGTGAGCATGAGGATTGTCCATGCTACATTGTTAAACTTTATCTTAGTTTAAATGCGAGTTGTAATAATGTATCAGGATATTGTTGTTAGAATTGAATATCCACACAGATGCAAGAGACAACCATACTTGTGTATCTACAAAAAAAACTTTTCTTTTCTATTCTTGCTTTCTTGCTCTTTTTCTTTTTCTCTTGATCTACATTTCATACAAACTATCAAAGGCTATTTATAAGCTATAAAACTGACCAACATAACTCCACACATAACACTCTCATTACTTTATAACTGACATAACTGACTCATTAATATTCTAACTGACATAACTGACTCATTAATATTCTAACTGACATAACTGACTCATTAATATTCTAACTGACACAAGAAACTAAAACTGCTAAAAAACGGACATTTAAAATTTATCCCAACAAAACTCCCCCATAAATTTTAAATTCTTCTTTCTTTCTTCGCGTTGCTTATGCTTTTCTTCAACTTTCTGATCGCGCCTGTTTTCTTCAATCTTGATCACTGACAAAAAACATCTAACACCTTCCAACTTAATTAACTCAAAAAAAATATCTCCCCTGCAATTATTTTTCTGAACATATTTTATTTTAACAGGTGGCTTCTTCAATTTGATATTTTCAGTTTCATTAGCAGGACTTTCCTTGTTTCCATTCGCTATATCTTCTTCAACTGCAAGTTTCTCGTCACCCAAATTCTTCTCAGTTTCATTCGCCACTTCATCAGTTGCTTTCACAATTTTATTTCCTCGTCCAATCCCAATTTCTGCATCATTGGTATTGTCAATAAAACCTCTTTTTCTCTTAAAGACCACATCTTTTTCTTCAAATGCACCTTCCATTTTTTCACTCTCAGTTTCTTCATCGCCGGGTTCTTCTTCATCGAGAACAGCTTCCATGCGCCTCATCAATGGAATCTCAGACCACCGTCCTCCAGGGAAATGGTCTCTTTTCGGTGGTGTCGACATCTTCCACTCCCACCATAAATTCAATGCAGTCTCCGACTTCTGACTTCCAACCCGAACCGCGCCTATGCCGGTCTCCGACATCAACCTCATCACGCCGAGGTCGAGCTCTTCTCCAAAACATGAACTCGGTGATTTAGCCGGGATCTCCCCCATCCCAGTTATCAACACATAACTCGGATTTGCGGTCTCCTCCATGCCGGTCTCCATCAAGCACCTCGGCTTCTCAATCTCCTTTCCAATTTTCGACTCTGTCTCCAGACACTCAGGTTCCACGAAGTCTTCTACCTCGACAATGGACTCGTCATTCTCGTCCTTCTCTGCTTCGATCTTGGCTCCTTCGTTCTCCTCATCTTCTATCTCAGCTCCTTCGTTCTCCTCCTCTTCTATCTCGGCTCCTTCGGCTGTAGTCATCTCCATCATCTTCTTCTCCGAGTCGTCTCTTACGCGTTCTGACACGTCAATCTCCACCGCGGATACGTTGCCGTTGGCAACCTCGGACTCCGCCATCTCGGTCTCTTCTTCATCCGCATGATTCTCCTCATCTTCATCATCATCATTGATGATTTCATCTTCTTCTTCATCAATCAGATCAAACCGTCCAGGTAGATATTTCGCTATAAAGGCTATTTGAAAATTCTTCACATGTTATTAAAATCGCGGCAGTCCCATGTACGGAACCATTTGATTGCGCTTCCTCTGAATCTACTTAAAGCTTCATGCCATTTGTCCTCTTCAAATGTTTTTTCTCTCCGAAAATATTCTTTTAGACAAAGTAAGAAGACCAATGCTTCATCTTTATCTCCATAAAAGAGTGGCACTTCCATCTCGTTCTTTTCCTCCATAGCCCAAGCTCTGATACCAATTTGTTAGAATTGAATATCCACACAGATGCAAGAGACAACCATACTTGTGTATCTACAAAAAAAACTTTTCTTTTCTATTCTTGCTTTCTTGCTCTTTTTCTTTTTCTCTTGATCTACATTTCATACAAACTATCAAAGGCTATTTATAAGCTATAAAACTGACCAACATAACTCCACACATAACACCCTCATTACTTTATAACTGACATAACTGACTCATTAATATTCTAACTGATATAACTGACTCATTAATATTCTAACTGACACAAGAAACTAAAAAACCAAAACTGCTAAAAAACGGACATTTAAAATTTATCCCAACAATTATCTGGGCTGCGTGTTGTAGTCCTGTGATTTTTAGATACTCACTGTTAACTTATATATTGAGGTATTCCAGTTAGATGTCTATTTGCAATTTACATACAGACAATGTTTTGAAAATGAATTAAGTAATTCAACTTGGTAATGATAATGACGTCATAATTAAAAAGAAAAAGATATTCCGCATTTTTAATTAAGCGTGGCTTAATACGATGGCATGTTAACAAACCGGGTATACACGAGGTGTTCAAGGAAGTTTTCCCAAGAAGTGTGCGAGTGAGGAAAAAGCACACTGAAAAGTCTCGTGTTAGTATGTGGGGATAGTCATTGATTCTTGAAGCGGTCGGGTGTTACATTTATATAGGCTGGGGAATTGGAGTCGTTGCACGAAATTCGCTGCCACCCAGCGAACTTGGTGCATGTCTGCCACGTGGCCTCCTAGTCGATACACATAGTTCGCTGCCCACTGCAGCGAACTTCGTTGCATGTCTGCCATGTGGTGTGGCAGGTGAAGCGTGCAGGTGCATTAATTGCAACGAAGTTCGCTACCTGGAGTGGTCAACATGTTGTCCACCAGAAATGTGCCACTTCAGCAAACCGAGTTCGCTGAGCATTGTAGCAAACTTGTCTGCGTGGTATATTGGAAAATAACAATGTTCACCTGACATTTGGATAAAAAATTCGATGAACAGTCACATTTTGGTCACTGGATAATTGCTTTAGCTTTTTTTATACCCTCCTACAAGCAAGGTACTTATTCAATAAAGCTTTATTCCTCTTCCTCTCATTATATAAGTTCTACTTGAGTTACGAGTACAATCACGTATAACTCAAACCAAACATTGTGTTGTGTGTTCCATTTCGATATCTTAAGCCATTTGATGAGTAACATGGCAACTAACCCTCGCCCACTATCAGCTACCCCTAGTAAGATGCAACAAAGGAAGGAGCGACGCATGTTCTCCACATCTGATGACAGTGCCATGATGAAGCAAGTTCAGGCCACTCATGCCCCTGATGGTCGTGAAATTGATGTCAATCCCATTATCAAAATCGTGGACGAAATCTTGATTCAAGCCATTGCCCGAAGTATTGAGGGTCATCATGTAAGACATTTATACGTACTTTTTGCTTTGCTAATTTACATGCATATATATGATGTCATTTGCTTATTTAATCTTGTGTTGGACATGTGAAGCCTCGAGGTATATATAGGTGGCCAGATGCTGCATGTTTAGCTAGTTATTTAAATATATATATATATATATATATATATATATATATATATATATATTGTGTACTATTACGCTATGTGTTCCATTTGGCAGGTAAAACAAGAACAAGATACATTGGAGATCGCTGCAGCTTTGGCTGAATTTGACACGCTTGACACGCTGGCTTTTATCATAAACAAAATTTCGTGCGAGGTTCTTTTTATATGAAAATCTCTTAACTTTTATGGAAGTTACTATTTATTGCTGTTGTCAAGGATAAAAAGTGTTGCCTACATATAATTAATTACCAAATATGTGGCTGTTAAAAAAAAAAAGAGAAAAAAAAAGTAGAAGAGTGATTCTTTTCATTATTTTACTTTTGCATAGAATATACTTATATTTGATGCTGACGGCAGTGTTATATCATACACAAAATATAAATACATGTTAGGTATTCCCTGTTCATTTTGATCAAATTTTTCTGTATCTAAAGTCTAAAATAAAACGATCTAGAAAAGTTATTAAAGAGTAGTTCATGACTATATATTGGTAGCTATCATGCAAGTGCTCGGGAGGTGGAGATGCACATGCATCAACAATGGTGTTGCTGAATTACCTATCTAGCTATGCATGGCATGCAAAAGTTGTGCTAACCTTAGCAGCCTTTGCTGTTATTTTTGGAGAGTTTTGGCTTGTTGCTCAGTTGAGTGCTGCAAACACACTTGCAAAATCTGTGGCACTCCTTAAGCAACTGCCTGACATTGTAGAGAATTCTACAAATCTGAAACCCCAATTTGAAGCACTAAACAAGCTTATAAAGGCAGCACTAGATGTAACCATGTGCATTGTTGAATTCAAGGAGCTACCATCCGATTATATTTCAGAGCACACACCTCCTATGTCCGTTGCCAGTGCTCATATTCCTATTGCTGCCTATTGGGTCATCCGAAGTATTGTGGCTTGTGCCTCACAAATTGCCAGTCTCATAGGCATGAGAAATGAGTAAGCATATCGCTCCCTTTTGGATAACTTGAATTACCTCAATCATTTTTTGAAATAGTAGTGACCCTTATTTAAATAAATGCAGGTCAATTTCATCAGCCACAGAGGCATGGGAATTATCTAGTCTAGCACACAAAGTCAGTAGTATACATGAGCACCTCAAGAACCAACTTGCTCTTTGTTACCAGTATATAGGTGAGCACACTATTGACAATTATAATTAGAATATATGTAACCTAGAGGGTGAGTACGATCCGTTGTAATTGAAATATCATGAGTTCGAATCTGGGATGCAAGTCTCTTTACAAATATATAACGGTGAGATTGCGTACAAAGATTGCCCCACGCCTGACCTTCCTAGTTGAAGTTTGATGGGGAGTATAATTTTTTTTTTAGGATATCTATAACCTGAATTCAAGATTTTTCTTGCAGGATTTTATGCTAAATATAAGACCTTTTATTGGACTAATTTAAAGGGTTTTGTCTCGGTTGAGAGTTTCAAAAAGTGTTTTGACAATTGCATCCTTAACTTGGTGCAGATGACAAGAGGCATGTAGAGGCCTTCCATAATCTGATTCGTCTTTTCGAGTCAGTCCATGTAGACAACATGAAAATTCTCAGGGCATTGATATATGCAAAGGATGATCTTCCTCCACTTGTGGATGGAACTACTAAATCAAAGGTTTGTTTTTATATTCAAGTAACATATATATAGGGGTAAACATTTCTACAGCCACTTTAGATAAGATTATCTACAGCTACCATTTTTAATATGTTCTTTCGGGAGAACATAGTTCTAACATTAAAGTTGTTTTTTTTTTTTTCTCTCTCCTCAATTACTTTTCAGAACTTGTTTGCTGACGTGGAGAGAGAAAAAAAAGTAACTTTAATGTTATAACTATGTTCTCCCGGGAGAACATAGTTATAAATGGTAACTGTAGATAACCTTATCTGAAGTGGCTGTAAAAATATTTTTTTTGTATATATATATAGTCCTTTGTAAATATATCTTATTCCAAACCATGGTTTGAAAGACTAACTCTTATTGACAAGCAGGTTAGTGTCGAGGTTCTAAGGAGGAAACATGTGCTACTCCTCATATCAGATCTTGATCTTTCACAAGAAGAATTAATGATACTTGACAATTTGTACAAAGATTCACGATCGAGGGGTGAGATGCACTATGAGATGGTGTGGATGCCAGTTGTAGACAAAGCAACTTGGAATGATATGAATAAGCATAAGTTTGAGTATTTGCAATCAATGATGGCATGGTACAGTGTGCGTGATCCTTTCATCATTGAACCATCAGTGATTAAGTATATCAGAGAAGTGTGGAATTTCTCAAAGAGAGCTATTGTTGTAGCCCTTGATCCACAAGGAAGACTGTCCTCTCCAAATGCTCTTCATATGATATGGATTTGGGGAAATTTGGCATTCCCTTTCACACGTGAGAAAGAAGAATCTTTGTGGAAGCAAGAGATTTGGAGCCTTGAGCTGCTTGTTGATGGCATTGATCCTACAGTTTTGGAATGGGTAATAAGATAATTTCTATGTTTCCAACTTAATTAACCTCACTTTTACAATTAATTTTATTATATATTGACACAAAGTTTCTCTTTGTTTTTTGTTATAGATAACAGAAGGAAAATTCATATGCCTGTATGGAGGTGAAGATCTTGAATGGATTGAAACATTCACAACCACTGCAATGAATGTTGCAAAAGCTGGTAAGTTCCAATTAGAGATGGTTTACGTGGGAAAGAGCAATGCCAAAGAACGTATGCAGAGAATGATAAATACATTCGCCACAAGAAAGTTTAGTTACTATTGGTCTAATGTGACACCCATTTGGTTCTTTTGGGCACGGTTGGAGAGCATGTTGTACTCAAAGTTACAGCATGGAAAGACTGTTGAAAATGACCAGATTATGAGTGAAGTCATGACTGTGCTTAGCTTTGATGGTAGTGATCGAGGATGGGCAATATTCTGTAGAGGTCCATCTGAAATGGCTAGAGCCAAGGGTGATACTGCTCTAACAAGTTTGAAAGACTTTGATAAGTGGAAGCATAAGATTGACGAAGTTGGTTTGGTGCCAGCACTTAAAGATTACCTTGATCAACTTCACACCACACATCATTGTAATAGCCTCATCCTTCCTGGCAGCACTGGTGGCATACCCCAAAAGGTTGTGTGTGCTGAATGTGGCCGTCAAATGGAGAAGTACTTCATGTATCGTTGCTGTGTGGAGTAAGATAAGAGGAGTGTCCTGTTATACACTATATCATTGTTACTGCTCTATATATTTTTTATGTTATAATGTTGGTTTGACAGTTATTTATATTTTATAATAGCATCTTAAGCTCCATCTTTGTGATGGGGTTAGTCTTTATGTCTACTAGCTACCTCTTCAGGTCTCAGAAGCACCATCTGTTTGGGCAACTGAGTTCCTTGCTAATAATAATAAAGAGTGTTGTACAAGTTTGATTTTACAATAATGTTTTGAATCATGATATGTTTTGTAGACACCTCTTTTCCAAAAATAAAACCAATCAATGGCAGTCACAATCAGAAATACATAAAAGAAACGGAGGATTGGGTGAATGAGGAACTATTGGGGGACAGAGTGAGTGGAAATCAAAAGGATATGGGACAGAGTGAGTGGAAATCAAAAGGATAATGATTTTTGTCCAAAAAGGAAAATCAGGATTGAGTTGATAAGATGGATTAGGATAATGAAACACAATAATATGATCAATATAACGACCCTAAATGGTAAATTTTAATTAGAGATTTAATTTAAGGATTTAAATGCCATAATTAGATTCAGTGAGTGATTTCGAGTATTTTGACTGTAATCATGACTATGTTATGAACAGTGCGTTCTGCCGGAGAATTTACAGTTTTGTGAATTAACCGGTAGAGCTTAAAAGAGTAAAATAATTTTAGAGACATAATTTGATAATTCTGACGACAAATATGAGTTCAGAACGAAAAATTGTATAGTCTGGCACTTTTCGTGAAAATCTCGTGAATAGTGTTTTTACCGGGTATTTTGTACTGCTGTTTAAGCAACCGGTAGAGTCCAGAAACAAATAATTGATGAAATAAGAATAAGGAAGTCCAATATATGCCAAGCAAGTCAAAATAGGCCCAACAAAATGATAAGTTTATAAGTTTTAAGTTTCATAAGTAAATGAAGTACAATTAGTGATTCACAGTGCATTTCGTCAAAAACGGTGCAAAAACCATACTGTGAATTATGAATATTGTTTTGTTAGAAATAAAAATTAATGTAAATGATTTTAGAAAAAAAAAATATGTTTGTAACTTTAAGTTAGTTTCGGGTCAATTTAAGTTAAAATACGCGATAGAAAAACAACCGGTTAAAAAGTCACATGTGCTTAAAAACCCCAAGTCACTTAAACCATCACTATCCAAATCAGTTTCTCTCTCCTCTCGTCCTCACAAAACCGAGCTGCAGCTATGGAAGGGGGCAAGGGTTTTGGTTTCTTGTCTCTTTGATTTCTCCATGAGTAATCCACCAAATCCTTGACCCAATATACCAATCTCATAGGAAATCATCCAAGGAAGCTATTCCACCCCTCCATTTGAGCTAATTTTGTTTGTGGAGGGAGATATTCATTTCTCCATTTTCGGATTACTATTCATCCAAGGTGAAAAAGGGGTTTTTTGGTTAAGTCTTGCTTGTTGGTCACCTTCTAGACCTTGTATAAGCTTTTGGAGGTAATGAACCTCTATTTCCATGGTATTATTTTGATGATTTAAGTTATAAAAGTTATGAGTATGTTTTGGTAGGAAAGCATTGTGTATTAAACTTTGATTTAATGATGAATCTTTGATGTCTTGGATTTAAGAAATGAAAATAAGCATTTGTATGTATGTAAAAAAAATTAGAAAAAAATCTTATGCTTTCCTCTACATGTTCAGCCATCATAGGTGAAGAGTAGGTTGTTGTGCAAAATTTTATCTTAAGTATTAGGAAGGTTTAATGTGTAGGAATAAAGTGGAAATTTGATAGATTAGTGAGAATGCCAAAGTGGGAAAAATTATATGAAATATGCCCTTAGGTTTAGGCCTTGTGGGGCTTTGGAGGGACTTTATGCTCCAAAAATTAAGTTGGAACCTTATGAAAACATGTATTTGTATGTGTAAGTTACATGTATTTGTATGTGTAAGTTACATGTAAGTGAAGAAAAAGAACCTTTGTCTATGTCCTTGTAGTGTTCGACCTATAGGGTATTTAGGGATATATTTTGTACATTTTATTTTGAATAAAATGTGTTGTAATAAATTGTATAAAAGTGATGAGTTTTGAAGAAAAATAGCATGATTTATGTTGAAAATTCCTAAGGGAATGGTTGTTTAAAGTAAAGAACACCAACGGTTATAAAGAGGTCTAGACTTGTGTATTGGCATAGCATTGGCAAAAATATAAAGAAAGGAAGATAAGCGATAAAATGTATGCCTTATGGAAAATCTAGGCATGATAACATTTTATTGATTTGTATTTGTGGATTCTTGCTCTAGGTGTACCTAGGGACCAAAAAAGGATCGGAATCTCTTGAAGACATATAAGTAACTTGTGCAACAAGTAAGCGTATTGGTAAAGCTTCAAGAGGTAAGCTCTATGTTTAAGGAGTCTTTTCCTGCTTAAGTGCTCCACCATGGTTAGTGAACTATGGTTGGACTGTATGACTGTTATTTAAATGCTTTGTATAGGTGCATTCATATAGAGTTATTTGATAACATGATATGTTTTGCTCTGATATGACTTCTGTAATATGATTTCTGTAACAATCTCTGGCCATTGATTGTATAGTACCCTGATGTCCGCTTTGGGGTCCTCCCTCGGGACTAATGGTGTACGCCTCTGATATGTCTGGTTCCGCTTTGGGGTCCTCCCTCGGGAACACGTGCGTTGATTTCCGCTTGGGGTCCTCCCTTTGGAATGACGGCGCACATCTCTGATATGTCTGGTTCCGCTTTGGGGTCCTCCCTCAGGAACACGTGCATTGATTTCCGCTTGGGGTCCTCCCTTGGGAATGACAGAACACACATCTGATATGGATAAATGCTCTGTTCTGTTATGATATCTGTTATATGTTGTATTCGTATACTCTGTATCTGACTTTCGTGCAGGAGTGAGCCAGGGGTATGGAGAATTCTCTATAAACCTGGAGCTTATTGAGATTTGTAATCTCACCCCTTGTTGGGGACATATTTTCAGGTGCCCAGATTCCCAGTGAGTCCTCACTAGGCAGGGACGCGACACGTGGCTGAGGCAGTTGACAGATCAGATTTTGAGTGGCTGTAGGCTACTACTTTTTGGAAGTATATTCATGTCATTTTGTATTTCCACCTTTGATGGATCATGACATTGATCCTTTATTTTGTATATGGCCTGTATATGTTTTGTACATGTCTGTCAGTTTGATGCATGTACATTTGAGTATTCAGGCACGTTATATGATGATGTAGTATTCAGATATGTTTACGTGTTGGATTGCATGCTGTTAGATATAGTGGCACTGAGCCAAGTTATGCATGCGCCCATGGATGGGCATTTGATTATATTTGTATAAACTGTTTATCAGGAAATGCTTCTGACTGGGATTGGAAAATCCCCAGTTGTCCGATTTATAGAGGAAACTCTGTCCGATTTTCGTTTACGACGAATGAGAATTTAAAAAGAAAAAGAAAAAGTTAGCTCGTATTTTTATAAGTTAACTCTTCCACTGTTTTCTGTTTTATCATATGTATGTTAATTGAACCGGCTCGAGACAGGGATGTTACATTTATGGTATCAGAGCAGTTTCTCTAGGAGAGTCTGTGAAATATTGCTTGAACTGTTCGGGTTGATATATTCTTGAGTTTCTTGGAGTACTATGATATGCATGTCTGATCACCAAGTGTGAGCGTAGCTAACTAATTCCTTTGTGTGAAATATGCAAAATTATGGTTCGCCCAAAAAGGACTTATGATCCTCCTATTGACCCAACCGATCCAATATTAGCAGATTTGGCTAGACCCCGAATAAATCAGCGGGGAAATACTTCACAGCCAGATCCAATGATAACGGCCTTAACTGAGATGCAACAAAATATGGCTGCAGCTAGGCAACGAGAGCTGGAAGTGATGATGAAAGCAAATCAAGACCTGTTAGAGGCTAATAGGTTGGCCAATCAAGAAATAATGGCAGCAAGCAGAATAGCGAATATTGAAATGATGAGATTACTCTTGGATGAGGTGAGGGCTGGTGGGCAAGGTCCACAGCCACAGCCTTTGCAACAGCCGCAGCCTGAGCCACAACCACAACAGCCTATTCCTCCTCCTCATAATCCCATTGTTGTGGAGGGTGAAGGAAATAATGATATGAATGAAGAATCTAGTCACAGGGGTGGTGTGGCACAACCAGCCACTAATAGAGAGCAAAGAGAAAGAATGCTTAATGCCTTCCGAAAACATGCACCACCAAATTATAAAGGAGGCATTGATCCTATTGCTGCAATTCAGTGGTTAGAAGAATTGGATCGCATTTTTACTGTCATGGAGTGTGATGATCAGCAGAAATTGTTGTATGCTTCTTATATGTTGCAGAATGATGCAGCCGATTGGTGGAGAAATACCCGTCAGCCCTTGGAATGTCAGGGTCATGCTATTACCTGGCCTTTATTTGAAAGGCAATTCTTGCTAAAATACTTTCCGGCTGAAGCCCGGATAAGGAAGAATGATGAATTTGAAGAACTAAAGCAGGGCCAGATGTCTATTGATGAATATCTGAATAAGTTTAATAAGCTGGCCAAATACTCTCATTTCCAGAGAGCTCCACCTACTGAGGATGATCTTGTATTTAAATTTCATAGAGGACTACATGATAATATTTCTGAAAAACTTGCAGGACACACTTTTGATACTTTTGTTGCACTCGTTAAAAAGTGTAAAAACATTCAAGAGTACTATAGAAGGAAGCATAAGGACCAATCTGCTCCTAATTCTGGTCCTAAAAACACTTCTGGGAATTCTAAAGGAAAAAGGTTGCAGGTTAGACAGTCTGATGGTAAGTTCAAAAAGGCGAGAAATTCTAAGCCTGGAAATATTAAGTCTGCTTCTCTATGTGCTACATATGGTAAAGTTCATGCAGGGGTTTGCAGAAAAGAGCAAAGACTGTGTTGCAAATGTGGCCAACCTGGGCATTTTATTAGGGACTTCCCCTTTAATGGGGGACAAGTTTCTACTATTCAGGCCACTCCGGCTCCTATTGTGGTTGAGGAACCATCTCTACCTCTCCCATCTCCAGTTGCCCG